ATACATAATGCAGATAATAATATTAATTATTGAAACAGAGCAGATTGAATATTGCTAAACTGTAGTACTTGGTTAATTATATTTATTTAACTGTTTACATTTCACAGTGATGATACGAGTAGTATTAGCCATTGATAACTTGCCTACACTAAATATTAATGACCTTTTTATTTTTAATACAGGTCATTATCAAATTGTAGTTTGAACTACTCAATATTAACTAATATTCTGAAAGACACGCCTAATTTAAAAAATATGTAAATATCTTTGCTCTTTTCGTATACCTACTAAGTAATTCTAAACGTTAAAAAAAACTACAGATGACACCAACGGTAATTTCTATCTGGGATACTGCATTAGTAAATTCTCAGATCAGCATTAAAATACACTACTTTCCGTTATGAATGATTGTATACAAATACAGTTGATCTAGTTTCTAGTTTTTATATATTAACAAATAATGAATTTTAGTAAATGAAGGTTCTAATGCTGTAGCGATAATAAACCTGAAAAGGCAATAAACTCTTCAGCATGACATTATTTCATTTCTGAACATTAAATTTCTAAATCTAGTTGAAAGAAAATGACGCTTTATTATAATGTTAATTAAATTTTGATACAACTTAGCGAACTTATTAAAATAATAGTTAATCTATTATGCAAAAAGAAAACATAAAAGTTTCTAACTTCCTTTCTTTACATTGTAGATGGCTATTAGGAAATAATCTATCCGGAATCAACACTAGTATATTTTCCAATCTTAAATCTATGGATAGTATGTAAGTTTAGCGGTGGTGGATGAATAATAATAAATAAAGTATAATAATATTCCTAAATTCATTAATATAGTTCACATTATCACAAACTGATATTAAAAATGATTATATTAAATACATCAGCATACATATCATACTAACAAAACACTCTAACTACAGATTAAATTAAATATAAAAAAAAGGGCGGTATAAATCTGAAGCAACCTTTCGAATAGAAACTTTAGATTATACTCAATCAATTACTATACGGTAGTTGCATTATCAATGCTCTGGGATCTGATGTCCGACACTATCCTAATTTTTGATTATATAAGATCTTTAAGTTATACTGGACTTTCTACTCAGCAAATTCGTCAAATTTTATCTCAAAGAACAGAGTATCGCTATCTGTAAGATAAAAGAAATGGTTTTACAATTAACAAAGCAATGTCAATTTACTGATCTCACCAGGTACTTTCATAAGCACTACTTACCTTAGTTAACATTAAAATTTTGTAACAAGATCCTTGGATGGATTAGAATTACATGAATTTCCAGAAAAACCATTTCAAATCTTATCTAAAGCCTTTTATCTGTAAGTTCCATCTATCTTTACTAAACTGACTAAAATCATACGTTTTTGAAGCCATCATTTATTCATATTAACAGTTTCATACGCTTATATCTGCAACTTTTAGATCCTTGAAATCGAATGGCATGCGCTCAATTAAACAAAAATCTTTACCCTTGCTAAGAAAATTGAATGCTCTGTGAGACATTGTAAAATAGTGCAGTCATCCATTCTAGACAGAACTGAAATAAATACATCACAAAATACAGTATTGATCTATCACTCTTATACGAACAAGATTTTATTCAAAAATGCTACTAAAAAAGCTATCATCTAGAGCTATCTGTTATGAAGGAGGCATACAGATGCAACTTATTTTACTCGACATAACTTTACCAATACTACATCTATGACTCCATCCATTTCATTAATTACTCTCGTCATCATTAAATATCCTTTATAAATAATTTTGAAGTCATCTTTATAAATGATTCATAATAATTAAAATAATTCTAAATTAATTTGATTTCGGTCGGTAAAATTACTTCTCGACTTGTTTTAATTACTATTAATAATATTTACCAATAAATCCGTATAGACGGTTAGACAGAAATTTATTAGGAAACGACGCTTTTAAGATCCTTCTATCGCTGACTTCCATAGAATTATTGTAAGTTCATTTAGAATTAATATAGATTTTATAAATAACTTTAATGGTATAATCAAATAATTAAAAACATGAAATGGTAACAAGATTATCGTCAATATATGCAGCTAACATATCCCAATTCACTATTCTATTCGGTATAATCCATAATTATTTTCATAATCTAGATCAATTACTCATAACAACATTACGGATGTCTGCCTTCCTAAAGATTTCTATCAAAGTGGACTTTCGATCGCTAATTTGTATGGTGACACTACTTTATTTAAATGAACGTATTTCATTTTGTCTTATTTCAACAAAAAATAGAATAACTCAATATTTACATTTCCAGTATAAATATAAATGCATACAAATTATTCAAGCATTATCAGCTTAAGATTATCAAAAATTGGCTTGCGTTCAATAACATTTATGAATTCTTTTCTGTTTGCAATTAAATCTGTTATTTACTGTTTTACTTATATACTTGAAACAATCAGAGATCTTACAGGCAACAGAATCACCACCCTGACACCTTATTGTTTCCAATCATTCTCATTGCTAAATACCTTGTAAGTAACATAGTAAAGATATGTAGAATATATAGGATCTGGAAATAATAAGCAACTTACTAAAGCAATCGAGTTAAATGCAAAATGGCCATGCTCTTCTATTAACATAAAATTACGGAGATTTGAAATGGCTCAGCTATTTAACTATTATTTAGGCTGCTTATAATATTATATTAAGTTAATTATCAAAGTACTTTACACCGCTACCTTTAGCTTAGTTATAACTATATTTGCAGATAAATGTAGTTTTGAAGTAGCGTCACATGCAATAGGATTTCATTCGAATCGATAAACTTGCTATTTTTTGCTTAATACTGCATCCGAATGTGCGTGAATGTACACCCTTTTACGTCCATATTCTATTTTATGAACTTCTATCGCCTGAGAATATTTCATCGCATTTTGTAAATTCTGTTAGATCTACTTTAGAGGTTTCAACATATGCAATGAGGTAGTATTCACTATCTGACAAACCCAGTTCTCTTTTGATAAATAGTTTATTTGATTTATTTATCGCAGACTATGTTATCATGGAAAGTAATTTGAAATCCATTAAATGCAGATGTTAAATTATGAAGATTAAATGTAATTTAATTGCCGGCGAATATATACGTATCTACCAACATAGATTTATGATAAAATATAGAACGAGAGGTTATTCGTCTTTGTGTCTTATCCTCGGAAGCAGAACAAGATATTCTCATTGCGCTACTACATAATATGTTCAATCTACCAGACTAGGAACTTATTCATATTATATTATAAACAAACTGAATTAAGGGTGTAATTTTTACATTCATAATTTCAGTCAATCTAAATATAAGCCTAACTGTTAGGACTGTAATGAAAATGTGCAATTATCTTTAAAAATTTTACCTTTCGTATAACACCTCATATATAATACTAGCTTCAAAATGGTATTATACGATATCGTATTCATTAATTTCTCTATATTTCTGATTCTATAATAGTTTCATGACCGTAATGTACTAGTTCGTAGTGCACATGTTTATTGTATATGTTATGTATATGTCGTATACAATGTCCATAAGCGCATACAACGCAACATTTAGCCATGAAATTTAATTTAGATAAAATTTTTCACGTAATGCAGGATTAATGAGAAACATAGCGCTATACTGTCAATATGCATACATGTTGATAGCTAACATAAATAGTTCATTAATTAAGAATACACGGCTAGATGAACTATTGCTGGCAGTATAATTTACTGTACGTAGTACTTTGTGAAGTCTCAGCTACGGAGTCTATAACAGTAAAAGGCGATAACTAAATTTGTTTTCAACTAAGTCAGCTAGTGTAAGCAAACTTACTGTAGACTAACACAACTTGATACTAATAGTTAATTGAACTAGTAGACATCTTTTTAATAAAAATATTTCAATTCAGCTCAACAAATGTTAAGATGCATTAACATTGCTGAGAAGAAATTAGCATCGTATCGATGAAATACTATACTATAGTATCGACGTAAATCGTAGGTACTCAGTTCGCACAATGTGTAATTATGCATTATTAACTTTATTTTCATGAGCGTCGTCGAAATCAATTTCGTAAGCATAACTACCATATATTTATAAAGGTGAATTGGCCTTTATAGCATGCATGAGAGCGATTTTGTCTATTAATAGGGCTCTAACCCAATCTTGATTATGCTAACTGAACTTTTAAAGTGACAAAGGTCTAGTCGAATATGATCCACATTTGAAAATGTTCTCTCTCAAAAATGTTTAATCAATTTATTACAGACTAGTAGAATAAGTAATAATTACATATCGGCGAGATTAGTATGAATCACAACCTGATTATAGGCTTATCAATGTTATTATAATTGTCGGAAAATACTAAAAGATCAAAAAATTTAAGTTTTATTATTAACACAATTCATTCTCAACTTCAACACTATGATTGTCTATTAATGATTCGAAATAGATACTACACAATTCGTAGTCTTACACAATAAAGAAAGTCTACTTATATTCTGATATCAATTATTATTACTATCATATCTGTAGCTATACTTCTAAATGAATATTTTTTATACTTTCAATGTCATTGCTCATGCAGATTATTCATGAAATGCTTAAAAGAAACTGATATGATTGATCGATTATATATTTTTTTTAGAACTTTATCAGATAATCCGCTTATTATTTTCAGTAAACAAGCGTTTCGAAGTAGTAACTTAATAAAATTGTATGTATGTATTCTTAACATCGATCTACAATTATTTACGATTCATGTTTCTTTTACTTATAATCAGTCTATATTCATAGCCTATTATTAAACAACTAGAACCAAGCAACAATTAAAATTTATTTCTCTACTATAGTACTATGATAAAAGTAGAGATTATACGTAATATTAATAATTTAATCCTGTACTCGACTTCGAGTAGACATTCCAGTCGTGAATATCTATGCTGCGTTACAATGTCACTAGTGACAGACTGCCAACCACTACCCGATCAATTTACACTTTCTACTTGTACCGATATACTCTCCCACACCCTTTTACGAGTTTTTATTTGGATGATTGGTGTTATTTCTGCGATCGGAAATTTTATTGCTATCATATGGCATACTAAAAGTATGACAAAAGAATTTCAAGTTGTTAAAACATTACTTATTAACTTATCTATAGCTGACTTCACTATGGGTATCTATTTGATCAACATTGCATCAGCAAATATCTATTTTGCAGGAATTTATTCTGAATATTTGGAAACTTGGCTTCGTAGTCCATTTTGTTCAATAGCTTCTTCGTTAATTACATTATCGAGTTTTATGTCGACTGTTATCTTATTTTTGATTAGCCTTGATCGATATTGGGGTCTAGTATACATGTTTGATAACTATCGCTTATCCTACCGTTTTGTTGTGATATCATTATCCTTGTCGTGGGTGCTATCTATTATTTACATTGGATTGCCAGTCATCTATAGTATTAATCAACCTAGCCAATATCGTTTCCATGGTACAAATGGTGCTTGTATACCCGGTAATCTATCGAATACGTACTTCCTGATATGGTTAATATTTTATTGTGCTTTTACTTTTGTAATATGGATAACGATTAGTATGATGTATATCGCCATGATTGTAACGTTAACACGTATTCGAAAGCAAGCTAATCGTCAGATATCATCGGTAGAGAAGATTATCCAAGCTAAAATGATAGCTATTGTTATTACTGATCTCATCTGTTGGATGCCATTATATATCGTCTTACTTCGATTCTTATTTGGCTATGGATTAGATACGCATTCCTTACCGTTTATTGCTGTATTATCATTGCCAGTGAATTCATGTATTAATCCAATTTTTTATACCATATTTACTCGAACATTCCTCAATAAAGCTAACAACATGATACGACAACTTCGAAATATCTTAACATTATGTCAAGTATATCTTTATCAGTGCCATAGCAATTCCAGTAGTCAATCATTCGGTAGGTATAAAATTTTCTACAATGCTATAAAATTTCATTAGGAGATACTTGATATTTGTTAGTTAGGAGAAAAAACGGTAGTGTTGATGATATTCGGCATTAGTTATAAAGTAAGAAAATGCCATCATCATCAGGGATAGATTAATCTCTAGATCTAATATTGCGATGGATTTGCATCCATATGACCGCATAGCCGTTGATATAATTAAGCTGGTACTGCAGTAAATATATGCGCAGATCGATTTAAGTAGGCAAAATAGGACTGATTTGGACAATGCTAGTATTTCTATTAGGTTCTTTGGATATCTAATCAGAAGAGTTTATCGATTGCTAAGAGTAAGATGAGAAAGTCTCTTAAAAGACTCTTGTAAAAGCACCGTATTTAATTGCAATAGAAAATTTTGCTCGCATTTAGCTAGGTACGTAGACTCTATTATTTACCGCGACTATTTTATGAGCGTATTATTCCCACTACAATCTTGGTATAAATATGAATCAGAGCCATCCACAAACCTCAAGGAATTAAGCAATACAATTACCTTTGGACGTATAGAATTGATAAAGAACATAGATCACTTTAACAATCTATTGTAGTATGCAGCTTTAATCACAGAAAATTGCAGATGTACTTCTAGTGCGATACTATGAATTAATAAGTACTTTCCATATTCTCAGTTGTCAATATTCTATTGATGATGAAATACGAGTAAATAACTACAGTTTTCTATAATGATATAGATAGTAATTGGTATTGGTGAATTCGCTACTAATTCAGTGGTTTCTAATTGCATATAAATAGGAATTACAATTCTATTCTACATATAACTAAGCCAATACTGATTACAAATATTATAATTATGGCATAAATGTAGAAACATCAGGCGAAAATCACAAAGATATATCAATTCTATCGAAAGAAACAAAGTGCTTAACTCAGGTATATTCTCACTCAGATTTATATCTGTAATATTGAGATCGTTGACTTATTTACTGTGTTGTAACTTTGTCGTCGTCATAATTATATACAGATATAATTCTATATAAAAGTTTTGTGATTCTTTCCCTAGACATATTACAAAATTAAACTGACAGATAAAAATAATAACGGCACCTTTGGTTTAATAAAATTTTACGATGCAAATAACAAGAAAGATTGGCAAAGTGAAAATAAATTCTACAGGGTTATAGCATCAAACAAATTTCAATTGCAAAACATCATACAATTACTATCGTTAGCTAAAGAAACGGAACATAACATTATAATGGACATGCCATTTAACGATATTTATCAAAAACTGTAAGGCTTAAAAATTTTTATCGTTATAATGTAATTTATATGCCATCGTTAAATGCTTTTGTATCTGTTTCATACACTATCATTTCAAATAGACATAATACACTATATTTACTGTATAAATGTTTATAATAACCTATTTCGTCAAACTTTGCGAAATTGATTAATTATTATATATTACCATATCCATAGCAATCCAAATTAACCGAAAACTATGTTAAATTTATAAACTTATAGTTCAAAAAATAAAGTTGTTTACTCAGTCGCAATTAAAACTGAAAACTTTCTTTCTGTCAATAAGAATACTCTCTTACACACAAATATCAGACCTAATTACTGAAGAAATAAAAATAATAAATGAATGTCTTTACAGTAATATAATCTTGCTTCATTGATGCTTCTCTGATGCGACTAGATGTTATTCTATAAATCTACGAAATAATGTTTAGATAATCAAAGCGATTCTAAAAGCTAGAATATTATTTTTCGAATAGATGCCTATATAGTTTAACCTCATATCTAAACTAAAAGTATCAAAATTAACTTTAATTAAGCTATAGTTATAATTGTATCGGTAATATATTGTCATCTTTGGATCATCATTATTATGCAAAGGCAGAGGAATAACGTCACTCCAATAGCTTTGTAGTAGTAAATAACTAGAACAGTATGATATTCGTAATATAAGTATCTATATAATATGTGCAATTGTGCATACAAGTAGAAGAAATTCTCTTGAAATTTGATACTGCTAATATCATACTGATTTTACAGCACATATTATTCTTTATCTTTAGATTTTCATGTTATGAATCCCCTCACATAGATCAAGATGTACAAATTCTAAGCACATTGATTCGTTCCCAGTCAAAGGATTTGACGTCAGTCAATGTTCTACGAATTATCGAAGATATTGTAAAAGCTATTTCATCATTGCAAGCCCATTTGATCGTCCATGGTGGTATAGATACTAATGCTATCATTATCTATATCCCAACTGCGGTATTTAATGCATAAATATTAACTATCAGTCTTAATTTTCACTTAGTACCAAGTGTCAAATTAAACTTTGCCACTGGCAAGCAATTGTACGATAATAAATAATAGCCTATATTATCATACTTAATAGACAAATGCAGCATTTTAATTGTATAATATTATTAACTATATCTCATGAATCCTACAGTAAATACGTGTATTAATACATATGTATACATCAGTGTTAGACTCTGTTCGATAAAATTCCCACATTCAAAGTTATACGTTCAGCGTTATTTACAACTATATTGTATTTTTAACAGATCAAGCCAATTAAGGCTGTTTTAGGCAATTTTACCGCTTCTCAAATATTAGAAAACAACCGCTCTTCAAAATTAAACCAAGAAATTGAAAACAAAATAAATAAAAATGTAACCGATCTGGCGCAATTATACTATAGCCTCAGTTCATACTGCCAATCCAAAATAACTATGGTATCCTGCAAATATGTTATCGATAGTGAGCAAGTTTATCGTCAGAATGAATCAATCGTGAAATCTCTGGCTAGTTTCTGCCTATTAATCATCTGTATTGCTTTAGCAGCATACAAAATACTTATTATGATCAGACACATGCCTACAATTACCACCACTACAGCATGCAGTTTTAATTTCTAAATAATTAAAATATATATAAAAAAAAAATAGATGGAGTTAGTAATTGCCTCTGCAAACATCATCAGTTTTCTGAAAGGTAGTTGAGGTATTGCCTTTAATTTCCACATAGAATTGATATAAAATACAATATGTTTCAGCTAGATTTCTAGTATTATATTTATAGGATTGATCAAGAACCGATCTAATAAATCTCATATTTATATTTTATCAGTTAGAAAAAGAAATATCTGCCATAAATAATCATCAACGGCTAAAAACTCTGCAGGATTATCGTATTGACCATATCTTGCCAGTACTTCAAGACACAATCAAAAATCTTACTGATATAAATGACTGAAGTAAAGAAATCCTTGCTGTGCACATTAATGGTGTAAATGTGCCGGTAATAAAATTATTAAACTTAATCGCACAGCAAGTACTTTTCTTGGTACTATCGTGATTATACATCAATGAAAAATTCTTTAATTCTCATTAATTTAACTGCAGATTTACTTTCTACAACTAACAGCATATACCCTATAGATACTTCCTGAGATATCATTCATACCTATAAATGTTAAATACCATTTAATTTGCTTTGGCTTATACTAGTAGTCATCTTATCCATATTGATAGTCTTATATTCATTGCAACAGTTTGCATGTTTTCAGAAGACTATTTACTGTACCCAGTTTAATCGTTGTAATGAACCATATACAAATAGGATAGCAATCATACTGCCCTCAAGTATAATTGTTTGGCGGTGATTGTAGTAGGTTTTACTCAATTAATGGTAATAATGGCTAATAACTATAATACCGTTTGATTTCTCTTTCTCTTAACAACCACTGCGATACTGCAGAATTAATCAAGTATACGAATACATTCATATATATTATACATAAAGCATTATCTTTCCCAATTTCGCGGTAGATATTCTATGCAACAATAGTGTGATATGCATTAAATTTTACTTAAATTTTAATCTCTAACAGTTTATTGATAACATTGGAGTAAAGCAAATTCTATAGCATATTAATAGCCTATTGCAAACTTAAATCAATAAAGAATTACCGGACATAAATTCCTAGATTTGATGTTTATTTTTTATTATTTGAACTGCAATTAAGTTTCTTTAGCCATCAAGCTGTAACAATCGGTGTAGTTCTTCTAAACACCAGCAAATACAAACCATTAAAAATGATTGATAATTACGAATAGCGTTTGAACAAATTTGTAAAGTTTTGGTGAAACATCAAGGGCAATAACTAATAGATACATGTCGATAGATAAATTTGTATACCCAATACCTTTGATTTAATGTTACAATTTTATGGTCTACGTATACTTTACTAACTTAATGGCACAACAGAAGATCTGGTACATAACATACATATAAATATATATATATATATATTAGTTTCATATTAAGAAACCCATTCGTGTTAGAAATATTTATACTGCATAGATTTCAATTTCATGTTGAATTTCTTCTGACGCTAAAGCATCAATAATATGATGATAAGATGTAGCATACCCTAGACAGCTTGATAAACAGTATATAGCAGTAATGAATACATAATTAAAGCATACCATACTCTTTTATTACTATAACTATGATTCTAGATCATCGTGGATCTTTTGCAATTTAAATTTCTTATTGAGCAAGTCAGCCCTTCGATAATTCCTATTTTTAAAACTTTACTCACAGAGCAAGATTTGGAAAGTATCAGCAATTGGCTAAAATTTATCGTCTTGTGAGAAAGCATCAGAATTACATTTTAATGAAATTTTCCTAAGATAATGGTATCGAAATAACATTAAAAACGCTAATCCTTTCATTACGGTTTGGCAAATAGCAATTTTGATACAGCCATACAAAATAAAAGTCTAAAATCCATGCATGATATTTTTATTGGCTAGTGAATATTATACATATACGTTTAACGTTACATATTGTAGAGATATGGCAGTGATTCAAGAATTATAAAGAGATGTATCGTAGGTTTGATACTTTCAAAGCTGCCAGAATGTTGAAGTTAAATATCCGAATTCAAATTTATCAAGTATTAAAAAATTTTACGACATTACAATTAAAAATATTTCATGTTAAACGCTAAATATTTGCTGCCCATAATCAGCTTAACTATCACTGAGTGATGGTTGTATTCTCAATATTTATTCTTTTTTCTATTGTCAGCCTGTTCAAACACATTTCTAAAGGTGGTTTCGTACCAATATTCTACAAACGTTGTAACGGAATCTATAAAAATCAACCATTTAAGTAAATATTCGTATCACCAATGAATTACTATGACATATGGTATCTATTAAAATTGTATGGATAACCGGTTCTTTAAACGTACAGCATGTAGATTTAGGCGTTGCAACTCTTGAACACGAATTCTATCGATAGCTAGCGTTATTTTAGTTGAGGAAACACCAAGATCTTCAGCGAAGCGCCCAATTAAATCATAAGCCACTATGTTAGCTCCATTCTAAATTGTAAAATCAACATATATCTCATGTTCAGTTCGACATCTATTGGATAGATATGGTTATTAAAAACGATCGCTAACCTTGTCTGTGTACGGATGAACTGTTAAATCAATTCCCTCGTTAGAAAGCTTCTGATAAACCATGACATCAATATTACTTCTTCTATATTCTGATTTTGGGCGTTCTTTTCTTGAAGCAGGAGCAGCATTACCAGAACTTAGATCATTAATCATTGAATAGCGCTTCATATTTAAGTCCGACCGAGGAGGACTACGATGGCGCAAATTATGACTTGATAAGGATCTTCTAACAGGTGGCATGACGGTGATTTTCATAGAATCATCTACATCGTCCTCATTGTCGCGCAAATGTAGATTACGGTTTCCACCTGGATTTATTTGAATAAAAAATTCGATGCATTAGTCGCTTAGTAGTTCAATATCAGCAATGAATCAATTACCATATATTGTAATAATATTGAGGCCAATAATAAGCGCATGGCGTAGAGATATGCTCGTAGACTTTTACCTGATTCTTCGTTCTGTGAATATCCTGATAACCTGGCATTATTTTCCGCTTCAGTATTATCTAGCTCTTCGGCCTTTTGTAGCGCAATAATTAAGAAACATTGCCAGATAAAGCAAACCGAAACAACATAACTACACCACATAAGTTCAAAAAATAGTATCTTTTTAAATCTAAATTCCATAGATACCTTAGTACTTACCAGTTTAATAGCAGTTTCCATTGACATTTTCTTATCTCTAACAGCCTTTAATAGTTTTAGTCGGTCAGACTGACTGAGTGATTTACCAATCGTAGGAGACGGCGAATAAGCTAAAGAACCAAGACCTGATATTCTAGACAATGGTATCTCGTAAAAGTTGCAAAATACATCTTATTTACCTTTCCTTGCAGCAGAATCCGTTGGAGATGAATCTCTTCTGCTTCTTCGTCTAATTACCGATTCGGTTGACGATGAATCCCTTCTAATATGTTCTAATAATAGCAATAGAAATAAATTAATCTATACTACATGTATGAACTGATACAATGTCCGGCAGTGACATATTTTAAACTATATTATACCCTTCCGATAGTTCTCTTCCATTCGATCTACTTCTGTCTGTTGAATCATATTTATTGTAAAGATTATTTTCTATTTTAGCACTTAACCTTTGACTAAATGATTTCATTCTGTTGATAAAGTATATAACTTACCCCTGTATCACTGTCCATCTCACCAGCTAAAAAAAAGGTAGAGTAGAATCTCACTTAATTTATCATAATTAATCTCTTTGGCAACTTTCGTTACATAGACATTTTGATATGATAATAACTTACTTGATTTCCGACGTAATGATAAATTAAGCGTGGATCGAAGTTTAGTACTTGTGGCTTCTTTAATATCTTTCTTTAAATTGGACATTTTCAAAGAAAGGTTTCTCTTCCATGTTTTACCAGTCTTAGGCCGACCATCTTGAATTTGACCTAAAGCCGCATTATTGTCTTGCGAAGGCCTCTTTGGAACAGCTAATGTGAGTGTATAGATTAACAGATATCCTTTTGTTAGACATAAGGTGGTAAAAACGTTACTCTTTATTGACCATAGCCATATTTTGGTGCTAAAAAATTTCTGTAAAATATTGCTAGAGCATCACTGTACGTTGATAAACTGAAAAAGACGATAGACTAACATAAAGAAGGCAGTTTTATATTTATTAATTAAAGTTTTTATAGATAGTTAATGCCTTGCTATCAATACAACAAGTACTACAATGCCTAATAGGATATAACTTTTACAAAGACGGTCAGTGACAATTCTAATTTGAAACGGACTAAGAATACGCAAGCATTACCTGATGTTTCTTCCCTTCGTTCAAGGTAGATATCGTTCCTGTTATCCTACATTTTATGATAAATAGTAATTAGATAGTTGGTAAGAAATTCAATAAGAACCAAATTAATGCAACATTTTAACCTATAGTGTTTTCAAATTGTAATGTAACTGATATATTTTTAAATATAGGCATCTTATATTATTCTTAAATATCAATACCTTTACAGTCTTCTTGCACTATATTCTAATATAGCTTATCGTATTTAGTTATTTATAGCACTTACCGTTTTCGCTATTTTCTACAATTATTTACTATTACATTGTCTATTATGGTATATGTTGTATCTAATCCTACACTCTTATTCTCTCCATGCGTTCTGTATTTATCATAAAAACTATGATAACACCAATTTCAGCCTCAGATTATGTTAGTTGCAATAGTCGCAGTGTTAGTATTTCCTTACGCTTCTTTACGATAGCTTACGCGCTGCTCTACAAAAACTATCATATTGTATGCAATCACAGTCTACAATAAAGCATCCATTTTCTACTAAAATCTTGATGTAAAATTCTCTATATGGCAACTAAGTTCGCTACCGCCGACTCATCGAACCCTCCATCACGTAATCTAATCTCTAAAACGTACAAGCTAGCTGTCTTAACTGCACTAATTATAACAGCATGCCATCCAAAAAAAAGATTGATCAATCTACTTTCGAATTACCTTTTCACTTTCAGCTCTGTTTGCTATAGGGGATACAACTTTACTTTTAATATTTTGCTTGATTCCTCGTACTCTTAAAGATTGCAATTGTTGTAAAATTTCTAAAGCTGATGCATCCAAGGTATCCGAATAGTTTAACGCCAACTCTGATAATCGATCGCTATCCTAAACATAGGAAATAAAAGCCATTTAACAAAGTATGTTATAGGTGCATAGTCGAAATATCATGCACCAGTTTAAGTCATCACATCAACTTAATCAGCTTACAACCCCTGTTACACGAAATCTATCTTACGAAATAAGATATTGACTGGGAGTATATTGTAAGCCGTCGGCACAATTTTCCTAATCATTCATTAGTGCATCGAAAACTGATCTAATGCATTAATTGTTCTTTTATCATTGACACAGTGAAGATACTGGGTTAATCAAGTTCTTTGAAATACTGTAAAAACATGTCATAGGAGGGAAGAGAAAGACTAAAGACTACACCATAAAGTCAAAACCTCTAGCGTGGTTAATCCGGAATCAGCTGTAAATAAATTTATGAAAGGGCAAATTGTGTCTTATCCTTTTCCAACTTTAGCCAACAATACAGTTGGTGTAAATCTACACACAAGTACTAAGATTAACTACGAAAATGTTCCACCCTTTTCTCTTTTCCAAGCCTTTTGTATCCAACTACAGTATGATCATAATCATCTAAAATATCGATCAAGTTGATCAGTGATCAAAAATTTCTCTACTTTACTCGTAGCCACATTGAAAGCATCAATAATTAATTTAATGCGTGCATTAAACTGGATTCAACTCGCATCAGAAATCCAATATCTTTCGGTCAATTTTGCTTTAGATAATGTGATTACCACTGCTATTGTATGACTATCCGTGGCGCCATTTTGTAATGACATCAATAGTCTGGGGGGTTTATTGCATTACCTATCATTAATACCATATTGGCTTAAAAACTACGCCATTGATGATGATGTTCTTGAGAGATAGCAATACGCTGTTATGAAACTCATATTGTCCATTAATTATTCCCATAATATTTTCTGCTCTATTTATTTCCACTTACGGTTTACTGTCTGATTTCTACCAATTAGGTATGTCAAAGTATGAATATTATAATTATGCTATTGTACCAGTCAACAGTCTTAATTAACCAAGAAAGTAAGCCCAAGGAAAGATAGCCATTATTACACCCAACTGGCTCTCGTTTCTACTTTTTGCCTTAACAGCAGGCATTCTACGCGGTATTATTAGCAATATTGTTAGTATAGGTCATCATTTCTTACAGTATAAGAGTATCAGGATATTTACTCGGATCCATTTACTACAGTAATGGATAGAATATCCAAATAATACAGCAGTACAATCAAATAAAACCTTCCGGCCATCCTCGTAACAATTGGAGTTAGTTCAAGATTCTTTCTCGAATACATAACAGTAACAGCTGTTATAGAAGGGAAAAAATATTAAGTTATTTTGTCGTGTTTTACTGACTACACTTTTTGATGCATAATGTGTGACCGTTGACCAACTGTAGCGTGCAATAATTAATAAGAATTCTATCGTATGATTGCCTTTATATCAACAAGCCATGAGGTTATTTAGAAGGATCCTTTTGTGTTTACGGATTAGATGATATATTTATTTGCATCTATCCGCAACCTATGTAATGAAATCTTGCCATATAGTATGATTGATGACGGGAAGTAAATAAAAGTAGTGAATAAATCGTACTTTTTAATCATTACAGCTTTAGCGACAATATCCGATGTTAAGTGCAAAGATGCGAGAAATGCGAATGGCAATATATAGTAGGTATCCAAAATTGAACGAGTTCTACCGTATATCACACAAGGACTTTATGATGGCACCTGGCTAGCATAATTCTCGTATTCAATTTTAGTCATTCACTGACATAGCCTTACATATGGAGAATATTTACCATCATTTAATTAACTATTGCGATTCTATCGATGGATAAAAAAAGGAAAATTTCGAGTCGAAAATTTTTTTCTTTCGATTTGGAAAGTCTACTGATTGATTAATTAATTATTAGCTAAGGGCAAGCTGCCACCTTAGCTCAATACGATGCAACCCTTCTATTCTCTCTACTTGGCTATTGACTGTTTATAGCATTAAGCCAATGGAAGGAAGATTGAAGTTTCATTTTCTGCTGTCGTGATGGATGCATTTTATAGGACAAACGTAAACTATCATGGCAACACTTTATCCATGAAATATTGTTGTTAGAAAGATAGCGTATTGCTTGAACTCATCTCGTGTCTTCAGGAGTAAGGTGTTCAAATAGCTGATTGATGTTAATCGCTATAACTCTATCGACTAGATGTATACTCGTATCCAGGGTTTAACACAACTGCCAACCTCATCGAGCAGCCAAGTTTGATCATTTTTGAAAAAGCGATGCTTTATGTATACGCTTATATTACACATATGTATTGTATGATCTATATACATCGTACAGTAAGTTCTCTTTCGACATTTGCTACTCCTATTCAGCTTGACAGCAATCTACGAGTACAGTCAAAAAAAGGGTCAAAGCTTGAATTGCAATCCAAGTTGGACAGGCTACTATTCCAATCTGTTGATAGCAAAATTGCCTAGCGATACCTAAAACTAAAAAGCATCATCAACCTTATCGAATATCGCACATCTTTGACGAGAGATTTCGTTGTTTACTTTTATCATTATGACTGTATGCACAAGTGATTAAAAAGGATTACTAATTGTTAATTGTTATTTGCATATGGCATATATGCCTATCTCCTGCTCTCGTTGCCCACTGTACAACTATCTCATTTGAACCAAGGGAAAAAAAAAAAATGATTGGCTTGGATTACAGTAACCCACTACGGCGTAATTATCAAATCATGGATATCTTGTTGTGTTTTTGGGGGAAATAATTTCCCTCAGTCTTTCTTCATCCATCGATGGAGAAAAGTAACGACAAAAGTCAAGAAGTCAAAAACAATAGCGATTAAGTAAACAAAGAACGTTCTCAATGATCAATTTTTCTGCAGTCGTTGACTATCGTCTAGTCCACACAAAAGAAAATGAATATCCTTGTACTAGTTAACATGTTATCTAGTCAACAATCTTAATCCTTATAGTGTATATCGTCGTCTTTTTCTATCGATCGCCGTTAAAGGATAAAAAAAAAAAAACTAACCGATTGAAGTAGGAGTTTCGATGAATGGAAAAAAAAACTTTATCTAGTGTGTGGGACAGTCAATAAAGCACAGCGATTGATATGATCTGGATCACTTCAACAATTTGGATTAGTTAAAGGGGTAACATGAGAGTAAATTGTCATCCATATCATGTAGACGATTGAAGATTTTGGGTTGATTTAATGAGTAACTAAAACAATCGGTCAAGTGATTGCTTGATTGATAATTGAATTGCATGGACTATCAATCAATACAAATGCTGTAAGTTGTGTGTGTTTATAGCAAGAATGAATTGATATCATTTTCCATGGGATCCGATAAAACTATGACGGGTAGCTGTTGCCTAACATGCTAAAAGGAGAAATAGCAAGTGGGAGTTGACCTTTTGCTGAACTAATTATAATTAGTCACGTTTTACGAAGCTAAACCAATTTGCAAGTGGAGTATTGTCAAGCATTAGCATCAAGATTGCAGTTGGTGGCCGTTTTAATCAAGACGCTTCAATGACGACGGCATACTGTAGAGTGTAGAATCGCTTTTACTAGGTGTATTGCATTTTTACTCCAGAGTACAGTAGGACACTATCAGATAAAAAATGGCTAATATCGTATTTTGATTCCTACCTCAGCATTATAGGGCTGACGTGTTAAATCGACGCCATCTTCGATTAATTTATCACGAAGAATCATTTTTAACTCAAGCGGAGAATATCTTTTCAATTGTCGACATGCTCCATTTTGTAAATGGAGCGGAATGACAGAATTGGATTGATTGATTGGATTATCCACAGCAGCAGTAAAGCTAGTAGCTCGAAATCTTGCCGCAGTTGAATCAGTTGGATTAGCCGATGGATGATCTGAATGACGGTGTGGATGAAATCGCGTTGGCGAAGAAGGAAATGAACTATCTTGAGTGTCTTCTTCATTTTCAATCTCGTAATAGTAGCCATCATTTGCGGTCTGGCCATAACGATTTCGACTGGTATCGACGAAATCATCATCACTCTCTGCCTTTGCCATCGGTGGCTGATTGGTTATTCCTTGCGATAGCTGCTGATGTAATCGACACGAGGCCGCTATGATTGCAATCCTAGCTGATCTTTGCTGGATCCCCATCACGTTGAGATCATCATTTCCAATATTGCAACATTTTTGGAGATTGTCATAACCGCGTGTTTTAAAATGATTGTAGAAATTACTACAACCGAACGATTCCAACCACGATTGGAGGGTAAATTGATTCATGGCACGATCAACATGAAGGCAGTATCATCGACCACCAAGAAGAATGCCGATGGTTTTAGTCGATGCTGGGATGATATGGCGTTGACTGTCCACTCCTCTAGACTAGATCGAGTCTATACTGTACTCACTAGTTGATCAACTGCCGTAAGCCAAAATTGGTCGCCTACCATGCACTCTCCAGCCCCCTTGTTTACCTCCCTATGGCCATCTATTGTTGGCGTGAATTTTGAATGATGTTTTTATTCCTGCTAGGCATTGAAACCCCACGTCGACAACGTTATTGGATAACAAAAGCATCAAGCAGACCGCCAGTCTAATATAAAGAGCGTCGATATCGTTACAACAGGGATTATCATGGATTACTTAATCTCCTCTACATTAGATGGAGTAGTCGATGACCGAGGGGACGATTGTCTTGTAGGGTTCTGTCATGGGCTACTACTGGATACTAAACGGTATATAGTATCGAATCGTCCAAGGCACTGTCTAGCCAATATAGTCGTGGTCTCTCGCTGATAGCAGCGATGAGTTCATTAGTAGTTTTTACTTAGAAGAAGGAGTACTCTTCGCCAGCTGTCATGATGATCCGGGTCGATTATCTTTCATGGTTCTCCGCGAAAAGAGGATCACCGCTTGGCTTGGTGGTCTATTGCTGGTAGCAGCGATGAGTTCATTAGTAGTTCTTACTTAGAAGACGGAGTACTCTTTGCCATATTGATGATCCGAGTGGATTATCCTGCGTGGTTCTCCGCGAAAAGAGGATTACCGCTTCGCGATGTGGTCTATCGCTGGCAGCAGCGATGAGTTTCATTACTAGTTCTAACTTAGAAGACGGAGTACTCTCCGCCGTAACGACGATCTGGGTGGATTATCCATCATGGTTCTCCACGAAAAGAGGATCACCGCTTCGCTATGGTGAATACAGTATTATAATTGTCCTGATTGTACCGCACTTGATAAATGCAAAATCGTTGCACACTCGCTAGCTGTATAGCTAAAATAATGCGCTACTGGGCGAAAAGATAGTGCTGCGTTTCAAACTACTTGCACTGCTTCTGGTAGCCATACTATTGTCTACTGTCTGGGAGTACATCCAAAAAGAAAGTGTTAATCTATAACATACCGATATTATATTATTCGCGTATTCTTATTACTGTATATCATTCTATATCTATAATTGTATATTATGTGGTAGCTATACCAGCCATTTTACGAACGAATCACTCATTGCCTTAGTCATACAGTCATTTCCTTTTGAATAATAGGCAGCTTTACCCTGCGCACCATGCCGTGTGAATGAGATTTCTCGCATAATTCACAACAAAAGAGATACATTAGTACAGTTTAAGTAACATGCTTCATTAATTTAATTAATTCTACTTAGCCTCAATGTACTTTGACAAATGGAAGAAAAAAAAGCTTCCGTAGATACGCGTAGATATACAGTTGCTATTTACAGAACTGCAGTATATGACCCTTTGCACCATCCCGTATGAATGAGACTTGTCTAATAATTCACTACAAAACAGATACATTAGTAAGTAAACATGCTTCATTGATTCATTTAGCCTTAATGTACTTTAGATAAATGGAAGAGAAAAAACTTGACGTAAAATCTATCGATGCATATGTACATCGACAGTATGATTCATTTCGATCTCGATCAATCGGTGTATTATTGAATGCGTGGTTTGGCAACGATCCAAATTCAGATGATCCATCAAGAGAGATCGATTGATATCCATGTTACTTAATTCAAATTGGCTCATACTGAAGCATTTTATTCCATTTTGAATAATGGAATAGGAAATGAATCACGTTCGTCCATTCTACAGTAACTATTTCTAGAACTCGATTTAATTGATTTTAATGTTGGATCAAGTTGAACAATCCATGATGATATTCAAATAGGCTTGTGTATGCAATACTGTGTCGTAGCCATTTTGGTGAATTTCCTCTACTCGTATTGTACTTTACGTCTTTAGCACACCAAAGAGCATGCGCAATTCTACAGTACTACAGTACAGTGGAAGGCATTGACTGTACAGTACAGTATGAGATCAGCTTGTACTGTACGCAGTGTTGGTTCCCTTTTGACGGTCATGTGATCCTGGCAATGGTCACATGACTGGATACCGTAGTGTACGATGGTCCTGTGGTACCAAGGTAGAGGGAGAGTGGGCAAGCGGTCTAGCCATCTATATCTAGTGTAGCTTATATTACAGCTTGCTCATCATTTCCTTGCGTTGTTGATTAAGCGGCAGTCTGCGTTATTCTACTACAGCAAAATGGCAGTTTTCAAATGGCTACTAAGGACAATTCTTGCTGGAGCATTTATCCTTGGAGGTGCTGTCAAGCTCATGCCAACGATTCATGAAGAAGCCTATCAGCATATGGTAAATTCCAATGCATACGATGTGCAATCTTGATTAGGGCCAATGCAATCGACATTGTCTGTATGTAGAATGCACTTTTTATTCCATATTGTGCCGTCATTCAAATTAGTTTGCATGATTAGCTTGCTAACCCTCCCACCCACCTACCCTTCGCAAATCAAATCATGCCGTAGTCTTGCTGTACACTCTACTTTAGGATGAAAAAGGTTGTCTTAGTTGGCTGGCTATCAGTCATCATGCACACCGTATCGCCATGGTAATCGAGAATGGATGATTACTTTCATGACAGCTCCATATCTTTCCATAGATTGATGAAACCGTCCCACTAGGGAGGATCATTTTTGTCTGTGCAACGATAGCCTATCTAGGCGCTGATGACGACCTGTATCAATAACTTATTCCAATTTAATAAGTACTAGACTGTTATTGATCATTCCTAGGATACAGTATTTAAAGCCAGTGTTCAGCTTGACTCACTCCACAAGTCTCCATCTTGATATAATAATCACATTTCTGCATATCAAGACGAGGATGGATTTAATTTGATTATCCAAGGCTTACAAGCTGACGTAAAGACACAACTGCATCACTTTAGTGAAAGCGGATTCTACCCGCTCGAGAATTACTTACACTAACTAGTACTAAGCATAAAATCAACGCCTTCATACTGGGTATAGTTTGCCTACAGCTTAAGCCATGGCAATAGTTGCATCAAGATAAAATCAAATTCCCCTTTTTACAGCCAAAACCCTTTCAAAACCATCATCAATGAGATCATGCATGGTCTATTTGATCAAGATATTAGTTTTGTTTACAGAATAAGATGAACCATGTGTTTTTTCTCACGTACCATACAGCACAAATACAATCGCTCTATTTGTTGTACTTTGTACTACCTTCATTTGCAGTTAATGCTGGCTGGTGTTTTTTCTGGCACTTTGACCGTACCGACCGATACTACAAGATCATGCTTGACAACAGGACTAATTTAGCATTCTGGGCACACTTTTGACGGAACACAGTGTCCACTGTGCAATGTAGAATAAGACACGCATAAGCATGACAACAAAAATGGCGTTGATTACCTTCCGTAACATATGCCTTCAATACAGTAGAATGAAGTGGAAGTAACTGACAATTTACCAAGTACAGTAGACATCAAGAGCATAGGCAATGCAGTAGTATAAGACGATATCGTCCTCAACAAGCAAGTACACAAAATTGCTATACTATATATGCAATCCACCAATATGCAGGCCACAAAGTACCGTACTCAAAGGTACCCTATGATCGCTTATTGTAATAACTGAAAATGAATGATGACATTCATCTTTTCCTGCCAATGATCATTTCAAATTTCTATGCATAACTACAAATATTAAAGGTCTGCAATAACACTAGCACTGGCTATGCCAACACCTTTATTGCCTATCCTAGACAGAAGCCACAGTCGATTTGAATTTCTAGACTACATTACTTCTAGAATCAATATACTGTACAAACACTCATGGACATCATTACTACGTCCATCAACATCAGGATTGCATAGTAACAGATCACGTTGATAAGCTAGCAAAGCCCCTTTTCATCAAAATTGCCATATCCTGCCCAGAAGACAGAAGCCGCAGTAGATGTCAATTCCTATATTAATTTAATTTAGAATCAATACATAAACACTCATGATCATAACTACTACGTTCACCATGACTGTAGGGTAACAACTAACTTTCACGAGCTAATTCAATGCCCCTTTCTATCAAGATTGCCATAGAACAAAATTAAATCAAATTCGCACTTAAATGAACATCTCTGTGACTGTCTGGTAATACTACAACAAGGATAATAATACTCTTTCTATTGCAAACACACTTGCTACCCACTAGATGTGCATTACATTAGAATGATTACAAATAGCACTTGTAACCAAATACGATTTTGGACAGTAGACCACGAGCTTGTAAAAGATGTAGAAAGTAAATTGATGTCATCATCTTACAATACAAAATCTCTTTTATTTTAATCAAAGGACAAGGCATTTGCTCAGTTTTTCGATTTCCTGCCATTCGAACGTATTAGCTATCCTACTAGCCATAAACAGTTATTACAAGTTACCGGAATGACTGAAGTAGCCTGTGGTACATTCATGTTTATTGGGCCTGCTTTCCTACGAGCCCTTAGCAGCATGATCTTGATGGGCATTATCAGCGCCGTCATGTACAGCATGCATTCGCTGAAACATCCTCAAGAACATTTTATCCCTGTTGGCGTATTGTTCGGATTGCTATTTTTGGAACGAATGTTTAGTGGTGGCTCCGATAGTAGCTCGGCGAAAAAGCAAAAGTATCAATAACCGATCCACTTTGCACTAGCTTGGTTATAATGCTGTACTATTGTTTGATTGATTCCATGATTCTCTAGAGCAGTATGAAATTGTACTACATTTCGCCAACTTCAAATTGCATCCGTGAACATGAAACTGTCAGGAAAGCTCTACTGTGTCAAATTTTTCATTTCCTGTTGCGTTTGATTGAGTTGAATTTGCTTTCTTATCGATCAACTTAATATCGAAGATATTGACTATTAATAAAATTTTTAAATACTCCGTTAAATAGTTAAATTGCTATATTGACCATGTTATCACATTGCATTACCATAGTTGCACATTAGAAAGACGTTCAGTCTTGACAAATGGAGTCATACCCAATAGATAGGGTTATACTATGAATTTAAATTAACAGCACGCGTTCATTAAAATAAATAACCTCTTCAATAATACAGTACTTACTTAACATGAGTGAGAATGGATTGTTAAAAAAAAAATAGATGTTAACACATAATTACAGCCTATCTTAGTTCAATATGGTAGTTATTGTGTTGGTATCTCCTACATAAATCAAGCAATTTAGTTGATACTAGAATAGCCGATTCCAATGTTTATATGCTTATTAAAATACAATAGAATAGAAACTACTAATGAAATAGAGGAAATAAACTCATATTTGGACTAACCACATAAGAATTATTGTCAATTCTCTCACTAAGCTGGACAGAAAGCTTTAAAAGAGAAAAATTATTCATAGAGCGTTCTCTGGCTAACCTTGCTTAGGAAAATGTTTATCACATTTCATTCATAATTAATCATTACCTGCATAGATTAATACATATAGAATAACATCATCTAATCAGAAAGGTATGCTATTGCTGTCATGATAAAACGAATTGTACCATCTTTTGACAATTTATTACCACACTAATAAGGATCAAATTGTAGCCAGTATTCAATTTCGAATTAAGATTGTGTCAACGATATCGATACTAAAATTGACGTAGCATATTCTACTACGATACTCATAATTCGTCATAGCCTTCTATAGTATATAAAATAATCAACGATATAATTTATCACCCAATCTTGCCAATATTTCATAATTGTACAATATTCACTTAATTTCAAAGGTAAAAAGTCGTCAGACAAATGATGTTATTTACTGTTACTGACAAACTAAGCGAGTGATTTTAACACCGGTAGCGAATTAAAAAAAAGATCGCTCAAAATAGCATAAAACGTTACTAGGATGAAATCTCTAAAACAAATATGCTATAATCCATTCTAATTATTCATTAACTTCAAATTTGTATAATATACATGTCCGGCGATGTTAATGCATAACTGATTTTTTTCAGTGTACACCATGTTAAACTAGACGGCACGACACATTGGAATCTGCAACACATATATCAACATAGCAGTTATGGATTTAGTAATAAACTCAGCATCAATGATATCACGGAGTCCTGAATTTTAATCCTTAAACTTGTGCCTGTACAGTAATTATTCAATTGAAATTCAGCACCTTTAAGGCGGACTAGTTCAAAAAAAATTTTAGGTAATACCAAGTATTGTCAATTAACATGTATAAAGCTGCATAAACACCTGCTGAGCCATAAGTTTACATGTTTGGACAAGCAAAGCCATCCTATCAAATTTTCTTATACAACGCTTTATTTCAACATAATATGCATATAGTGATCAAAAATAAACTTAAAAGCCATTTATATAACCCTACAGTACGCCAAATGGTGTCTTTTAAAGTATATCCAATTTCAATCATTGCTTGCTATATGCCTCAATTCAAAGAACAACCGCATTTGTGATGCTGGTTAATTTACCCATAAATACTTTTTACTTCTAGGGATTAACCTGCGATAATTTTAGTTTAACTGGCTGCATCAAGACTGTTTCAATTCTATCCTTTTGAAAGAAAGCGATGTAACAAAAAGGATACAGTTGCTTATATTTTATTACTACACGTATCCAACACTATTACTGTAGTGGTCTACACATGCGACAATTTTATGCCGACGTGATCTGATAATTAGCTATTAACTGTCAGTGATTGATATCAATGTCATGTCGAGTACCATGCCGAGTAAAGTCCAATGGACTTTGTAAACAGAGCTTTAGTAGAATAAATCTTGCCATTTCAATTTTATTTTGAACTCTGGACTCCACGCGTGTACGTGGCAGAATTTCTGTCCTTAGCAGCTAAATTCATAATCTATAAGTAATTATTAGTACCTTTATACAAGTAAGATAGATGCACTGGTTAAATGGCATGTACATTGTATAAGCACTAAATGTGCAACATGCACGTAGAATATTTTTCTACTAGAATCTTTCAGCATGGAGTCAGCAACCCATAGACTACATGGAAAGACCCCTGTACCGTGGACGTAGTCCATTATGCTGTGGATGTTTTCATGAGCTGCTATTTCTCGCATCTTTTCTGGTAGTATTGCATATTGCGTTATGATATAACGGGTATTATTTCTTGGAAATCCTTTACTATATGTATGCACAACAGGTAGTATATGATATTTAATATAGCACCAGCTGCATTAAAGTATTCAATAAACAAAGTACTATAAACTTGAGATATCTAGTTTCACTCGTACAGTACTTATAAAATAACTCTCAATGTTTCCGTTCTTCATTCTTTTAACTTGACAACTACTAGCAATTTGTCGACTGCCATTCTAGCACTGCCTAGTAAATAAGATAGTTGCTCTTAACACTTTGCAATATAAGTACTGTATCTATCAAATAGAAGCAGCTATCGAAAGTGGCATTTGTGCTGGTGTTAATAAAGTTAATTCTTGCGAGTCCATTCACTTAATCTAATGGAAGCACCTATCTTAAATGGTATTTGCGCTGTTGTTAGTAAAGTTGATTCTTATGCGTGCATGCATTTAATCTAATAACGGTACCTATCAAAAATGGCATTTGTTCTGTTGTTAATAAAATTAATTCTTAAGGGTGCATTCATTTAATCTAACAGAACTACCTATCGAAAATGGCATTTATTTTGCTGTAAATAAAGTTGATTCTTACGGATACATTCATTTATGGAGGCATTGTAACGCTAAAGCCAGATATTAACGTCAACTATCATCGTAGAATCGTAATTTCTATCTACTATACAAGTTTAGTATAGATGACTATCATAAGTATTACCTTTCGATGCTACCGCTTCTGCTGAATAAATACAAAATTTACGTAAAACTATTCCGGTATCGATCATGATTTATAAATTCTGTTAATCAATCAGTGAAGACTCCATTTCGAAACAAAGATAGCAAAAGCGATAGACTCAATATATCTGCAATCTTATTTCTGACATTTTTTCCTTTTATCTCCATGCTTTATATAGCTGCAGGTATGTCCCCATGTCATTCTAGAAAACTAGATAACAATATACAAAATTTTGTAGATACTTTTCTATAATGGAAAGTAAAAATTTTCCCGATAATTGTCAATCTCCTCTTAGTTATAGGCAGATATAGATCCTTTACTAGTATAGAATCATATGGTACATACCAACAGCCATCAATGATATCATACATGAGACTATACAGTGTAACTAAATTAGGTTCGCACTGCGTAAACTTAAAATTTATAGAATCCGAAATCGTCTATAAAACAACCTTGATCTTTTATTGATCATTGAAAAATTTAATAATAAATGCTACATGTTCTTACCAAATGAGGTACATGAATTTAGCTCTGAGCTAGGTTCTTGTACAAAATTGTCTGGACGAAGATACAATCGATGTTCCTGGCTAGATTGTTGGCCTTCGATAAAAGTCATTTTACTTTACAATTCATCAATAGCTGGTGGACACAATTCTGTACGAAGTATTTATTCCTGCAGAATAAAATTTATACGATCAATTAAAGGTGGTGCTACTATATTAAAAGATAATCCTTCTTAGCAAGTAAATGAAACATTATAGCTTCGAAATATGACAAAATAAAATAAATATTACTAGTACAATTAGCGCTTGCCCTCGTGCTATGAACCTGTGTTGTAGTCATTTAGCAACTTAATCGTTATGTCACTTGTGTAGAGAGTTAGACCAACGATGATATATTTTACATTAAACAACATAATGTGACGAATGAAATCATTTATGTATTAATTATCTATTGCTACGATACGCTGAAGTTATAATATGTTCTATTATATCTAAAGTATTCTTAACAACAGAATTATTTACGTCGGTATGTAATAAATCATCTAGTGAGTTGAAAAAGTGATAAAAATAAATTTCTATTATATTGTAACTAAACAAGAAATTAATTTCATAAACAGTACCGTAGATTATACGCGTATGAAATCACAATATTTAGATTTAAGAACCTAAATTTAAACGCCTTTCTAATCCATCATCTACATATAGTACTGTCTTAATTTTTAGTTAGTATACCGTATAATCACTACTTCTAATTTAATGGCAATATATGATATTTACGTTCTAATTATACAGTAAAATTTATCGCACATTTTCATCTTTGTTACAATAAGATGTCACCTAGCATTAAATTATACGCTATATATGATATGCGTACTTGCACATGTATGCTTTATATTCGAATTTCTTCACTGTGTGATATTGTAATTGTTGGAATGCTATCTATACGCTATTGATTAATTGAAATCGAAATTTTAAGTAATAAATATTAATATGAAAACTAATGACTTTGTTCTATCCCATAATAAATAAAAATTTAGACCAGAACATTGAGCATTAGCGTGTGAAAATCCTACACTGTGCTGTATAATAGCGTTGATATCTACGAGAATCATACTATTGTTAATAATAGACATCTTTTCAAAAGCTAATTTGTATAACCGATATACAGTATAACAACTACGTAGTTATCTATCAACTTTATTTACTTAGTCAACAACAATAAAACAATTTTACTACGCAGGACAATAACTAATTTCTAATTACAGAACCAGGCATGATAAGTATTTAAACGTAGTCATCAGCTTTATAGTTGTATTGTGGTAAGTCTCTTTTGAAGCAAGATGGCCGTTGGTAAATGGATAGTTCGAACAGTTCTTGCATCTGTTTTTATTACTTTAGGTACAATTAAGATAGTCCCGTACGTTGGTAAAGATGTACACAAGCACATGGTAGGTAATATTAAAACTAGCTTACAGTACACTTCTCTGATAAGTTTGCACTACTATTACTATTGATAAGTAATCATGGCATATACACTATCAATAAAATATTATAAAATTGATGGTAAGGATAATTTGTTGCTAACAGATTGAAAAGAATAGTTGATGACAACTATTTATGTCATTTCTACAATATAATCGTAGACAGACTGTTACAAATATGATGAAAATAAAAGGTAACATCAGATTAAACATTACCCTTAAACAGTTCATCTCCGAAGCTATTGCAATGAAAATAACTAAGCAACATAAACTTACCTTACAATAACATCGGCTAGAAAATTGAAAAATAAACGGATGATAGGTCCTCATCAATGGATACCGTCGTTAATATGCCAGTCCTCAATATTATTGAAATTCGGCTTTCACTAGTTAACGGCAGCTTCCTATTGCATCTACTTCATTTACACTGACAGATTAATATCCGAAAGAAATCAGTATTGAACCACAAAACTATGTCTTAGCAGATACTTACAAGTAAATACATAAGTTTCACAATAATTATAATAATTATTAAAGGACAATAATTTGGGCATCACTATATGCGTAAGTTGGATGCTAACTATCAAATGCGTATTAGATTTTCTTATATTGCTGAAAATTAAAAAGAGAGGTGAAGATATTGTATGATAGGACTAGAGTTTTATTTAGTCCACTCTTATATAGCTATTTCTCTGATAAACTGGTCAATTCTTAAGTTCTATCCTAGCACTGCGTTTTAACAACTTTCTAATTAAAATGAAACAATGTGCGTTAATATGATCATGAATCGAGTAAAATTTTCATAGCATGGCCCGTGGTTAAAAATATTGAATACAGTAAAATTATGATTCATTAACGTTATAAATACCCAAAGCTATAACTGTTACTGTATGCACTAACATGTTCTATCGTCTTAGTATACCATCATCTTAGTCATAACGCCAAAAGTAATTATCTTTGCCACTCATATAGGATAATGTTGCTTAATTGTACTCTACCATATACTAGATCATTTTTACTACTTGCTATATCTATTCATTACGTTATAACTCCCCGTTTTAATACATTTTAGAATCATTCTATATCTCAAACTGAAACACTTTAGTTTATAAATTGTTTAACTATCTGTAATATAATGGCCACTTACGTCCAAGAAATACGCCGTAATTCCGTAAAAATAATATACATTTATCCATTTACAGTATACTAATAGCATTAATGAAATTCAGAATTACGATAGCGTGCAA